TGAGTATTTGCAACTTGCTTGCCGGCTTAACATGCACTACAAAGCTTGTCCTTCTCAAACTTCACATCCTTCCACCCTCTCACCAAATCATTCTTCATTAGCTTCTTGAGTGAACTCATACCAACATGAGCAAGTCTTCTTGCCATAGCCACCCAAGTGTTGTTTTGGTGAATAGGCATGTCTTCAAGTTTGCATCTTCGGAGGTGAAGTCCACTAGATATAAGTTGGTGTATCTAAATCCTTTGAATATCACTTGATCATCATCCTTCTTGGATACAACAACTTCCTTCTCGGTAAACAAGCATTGGAAGCCAAGATCACACAATTGCCCAACGGATAGCAAGTTGAAACTCAATGAAGCAACATATAGCACATTAGAGATTGAATGATCATTTGATATAGCCACTTTGCCCAATCCTTTAACTTTGCCCTTTGAGTTATCTCCAAATGTGATTCTTTCTTATCCATCTACTTCTTCATCTAGTGAGATGAACATACGAGGGTCACCGGTCATATGTTGTGTGCAACCACTATCAATCACCCAATGACTTCCACCGGTCTTGTAGTTCACCTACACACAAGAGATCAAGCTTTAGGAACCCAAACTTGTTGAGGGTCCTTCACCTTCTCAACAAGTGACTTTGCAACCTAAATTTTCTTAGGCCTATTCTTGTTTGAAGGTCCTAAGAACATCACTTTCATCTTTCCACTAGTATCCTTTCTAAGCATGTAGTGAGCATTAAAGGCAAAGGGTCTAGCATGCTTGGGCAAGGGTTGTGGTGGTGAAGTTTGGCACTCATGAGCAAAGTGGCCTTCTTGTCCACACTCAAAACATCTCTTTAGCTTTGGCTTTGATTGTTGTTGTTGAACTTGAGCCTTCTTCTTCTCTACATGTGCCACATATCCAATGCCACTTCTATCCATCTTCATGATGGTGTTCATAAGTAGCTCACTTTGAAGATATTTGCCTCTTGTGAACTTGCTCAATCCAACCTTGAGATGCTCTTTCTTTAACTTAAGCTTCTTGTTCTCTTCCTTAAGAGCATCATTGTTCTTCTCTTCCGTGAGCTTCTTGTTTTCCTCTTTGAGCTTCTCATTCTCAAGGATCAAGTCACCATCATAATCAAGGGTTTCTAGCACAATGGTGTTGTGACTTTTGATTTCTTCAAGATCTTTCTTGAGCTTTGCATTGTCATTCTTTAGCTTAACAAACTCATCATAATCATCGGCCTCAACCACTTGCTTGCCCTTGCTACTAGAACCTTGCTCAATGCTCTCAATGATCAAGTCATCACATGATGTAGCTATATCAATCTTAACAACATGGTTAGTAGCATCATGTGGCTCATTAGATAGAAATTCTTGAGCAATAACAAGATTATCATGATTAATCTTAAGAGTGGTATATTCTTCCTTTAGCTTGTTGTGGCTAGTGATGAGCTCTTTGTGCACCAACTCAAGTTTATCATGTTTATCTTTAAGCTCTTTCTTAGAAGATTTGAGCTCCTTGAGTTTGGATGACATAGCTTCATTTGCTTCTCTAAGCTCAACACTAGATTTTTCGGCTATGTCACATTTAGCTAAGAGAGAATCATTCTTAATCTCAAGCTTTTCATTTTTAGCTCTAGTCTTTATAATGATTTTAGTGTATTTCTTTAGCAACTTAGCAAGATCATCATAAGTAGGTGATTCATATTCATCATCATCGCTATCACTATCACTATCATCCTTATGAGCATGATCATCACTACTACTATCATCATCATGAGATACCTTTCGTTCACCTTTGGCCATAAGGCATAGGTGTGTAGAGGATGACGGCGGTGGTGGCGGTGAAGATGATGAGGAATCAATAACAATGGCGGCCACCTTCTTGTCGTCACTATCATCATCGGATGATCCACTAGATGAATCAATGTATGTGAGCCAATCACCGATGATGTAAGCCTTTCCACTCTTCTTCTTCTTGTGGAAGTCCCTCTTCTTGCCATCTCTCTTCTTGTATGGCTTGTTCTTTTTCTTCTCGTCTTCATCTTCATTGCTTGAGTCATCTTTCTTGCCCTTGTTCTTATTCTTGAACTTATCTTTCTTGGGCTTTGTGCATTGGTGAGCTAGATGACCAAGTTTGCCATAATTATAGCAATCCATCTCGGAGATTGGCTTTCTTCTTGAGCTTGTGAAGAACTTCTTCTTCTTGCCATCAAACTTGATGCCACTCTTGTTTAGCTTCTTTAGCATCTTGGCGGTTTTCTTCACCATGAGAGCAAGGCTTTCATCATCAACTTCATCATCACTTGAGCTCTCATACTCAAGCCTTGCTTTGCCCTTCTCTTGGCTAGCTTTGAATGCTAAGTCTTTTTCTTTCTTCTTTGTAGAGGATGAGCCATCTTGAGGTGTGATGTGCATGTACATCTCATGAGCATTGATCTTCCCCAAGATTTGTGTTGGTGTAGCGGTGGAAAGATCACCTTGATGTAGCACGATCACAATATGCCCATATTTATCAATGGGAAGGACACTCAAGATCTTTCTCACAACGTCGGATGGTGACATTTGAGTAAGTCCAAGCCCATTGACTTCCTCTACAAGAACATTCAAACATGAATACATTTTATTAGCACATTCTTTAGGAAGCATTTCAAAAGAGTTGAGCTTTTTCATGACAAGATGATAGCGTTCCTCACGCTCACTCTTTGTTCCCTCATGGAGCGCACAAACATCCGACCATAGTGCATGGGCGTCTTTGTGGTTCCTTACATGGTTGAACGCATCTTTGCAAAGGCCTCTAAAGATGGTGTTACGAGCCTTTGCATTCCATTTTTCATAGTTCACTTCATCGCCTTAAAGTTGTGCGAGATTCCTAGGTCTTGGGAACCCATGTGAGGCGGCTCTAAGTATTCCAATGTCTAGAGCTTCTATGTACACCTCCATGCGAATTTCCCAATATGAAAAATCATCCCCCTCGAAGATAGGAGGAGGTCCATCCCCGTGAGACATCTTGCTCTAAGCGGTTAAGCTTAAAAACGTGACCACGAGGCTTCGATACCAATTGAAAGGATCAAGATGCCCAAGAGGGGGGTGAATTGAGCTAATTCTAAATTTCTTCGCAATAAACAAATCCTATGGTTAGCCCAATTAACCCCTTGTGCCTAGAGAAGTGTTTCTATTGATCTAACGCACAAAAGTTTAGCAACCTAGTTCCAATCCTACTCTAGCATGGCAATTCTAGGAATGTAAATGACAAGAATTGAAATGCTTAAAGTAAATGCTCAAAATAAAGAGAGGAGAGGAAACGCGGCGATGTTTTGCCGAGGTATCGGAGAGTCGCCACTCCCCACTAGTCCTCGTTGGAGCACCCGTGCAAGAGTGTAGCTCCCCCTTGATCCGTGCAAGGATCAAGTGCTCTCTACGGGTTGATTCTTCGACACTCCGTCGCGGTGAATCACCCACAACCGCTCATAACTTGAGTTGGGTCATCCACAAGCTCTCCGAATGATGACCAAGCTCTCCGATCACCACCAAGCCGTCTAGGTGATGGCGATCACCAAGAGTAACAAGCATGAACTCTCACTTGACCACGATAAGCCTAGGCAGAAGGGTGGATGCACACTTTGCTACTCTTGATCTCACTAATGAGGGCTCTCTTTGGGATTCTCAAATCTCAATCACCTCACTAGGACCTTGCTCTTCTTGGCACTCTCTAAGGTGTGTTTCAGCTGTTGAAATGAGCAAAAGTAGCTCCATACACGAGTGGAGCTTCTATTTATAAGATAGCCTGAAAAATGAACCGTTATGTGCCTCTACGGGGTGACCGGACGCTCCGGTCAGTTCAACCCACACACCAGAGTTTAAGTGTTGACCGGACGCTAGCAGGGTCCGGTCACCACTGACCGGACGCATCCGGTCCCATGTTTCCCTCACTGGATGCTTACTGTACTCGACCGGATGCTGGATCCTCAGGATCTGGTCAGAATTGACCGGACACGTCCGGTCGCAGATTCACTCTTCTGGAACCTTACTGGAGTCGACCGGACGCTGGTCCCCAGCGTTTGGTCACTCGACCACTCAGCGTCCGGTCGCACCAGACGCAATCTCCTTGGTCAAATGAACTGACCGGACCCTGCGGCCAGCGTCCAGTCAGTATTTGACCCTCCATTCAGTTCCAACCTTCGATCATACGTGAATGAAGTTTGCTCCAAATGATCTAAGGGCTTTGTTGGAGCTACCTAGTGCTAGACTTAGCAAGTGTGCACCACACCTAACTCACTAGACTCACCTAGGTCAAGCTACCCGTCCATACCCCCCTTAATAGTACGGCCAAAGGAAAAACAAAGTCCTAAACTACTCTAAGTGTCTCTCCAACTCCAATCGACACTTAGAACTAGTCATCCTTAACCTTATCGTCCATCCTTTGAAAACCGAAACGATTTCCATCGTAGGGGCATGACATCCATGATTGCCCAATCGATCTCTATTACCATGACCTAACTTAATTGCCACTGCAAAACACATGTTAGTCATAGTAATCTTGTATTGTCATTAATCACCGAAACCCAACAAGGGCCCTAGATGCTTTCAGACGCACATGTAGGTTTACTGATGAACTCATTAAGTTTCGCTTGGTATATGTGCACTTGATTTGAATGGTCATTGGTCAAAGCATATGTGCCCATCACTTTCTCAAAAAACATACCACAGATGCAAGTACTCATCTGCAAGCGCGTACTGTCGCATCAATCTTATAAACACACACGCACACCCAGATGAGAACATTCAAGAGGTTGGGCTTGCACATGTTTGGATTGATGAAGTAATGTGGTATTGTCTATGTATTAACCAATCATGTGTCTTTAATTGCGATTTGATGTTTTCAATTGTATATACGAAGAACACAGTTAAGAAATAGACTCAGATAAATCTCAATCAATGTATTGATTATTCCTGGTAAGTTGCACACGTCGGTATGAGAGCTTTGTTATCAAGTACATCTCATATGTAATCTAGAAGATGGCACCTCCAACGATGAGTTGCTGCCACGACAAGGCAGGGTTCATCAAAGATATCTGGTTGAATGGCAACAATTGTTGTTGCTGGAGGAAGGCAGCAGCCAATGGGTTAGCAACTGCCAGTGGGTTACCTGACAGCAACTGCTAATGTTGTAGGTACGTGGTAGTGTTCACCATAGGCAGTTGGTTGAATGGAAGCAGCTGTTGCTGTTGCAAGTAGGCAGCAGGGTTTGCCACGGCTAGTTGACTGAGCGCGGGTAGGATCTGTTGTAGTTGTTGTTGTTGCAGGTATGCAGTGGCGTTGGTCGTAGCCAGTGGGTTGGATGCAAGCAGCTATTGTTGTTGTTGCAGGTAGGCGGCAGGGTTTGCCGCGGCTAGTTGACTGAGTGCTGACAGGACCTGTTGCAGCTGTTGTTGTTGTCGGTATGTAGCAGCGTTCGCCAGGGCCAGTGGGTTGGATGCAGGCAGTTGCTGTTGCAAGTAGGCGGCAGGGTTTGCCACGGCTAGTTGACTGAGTGCTAGCAGGAACTGTTGTTGCTGCTGCTGCGCTGCAAAGGTTTGCACGGTTAGATGGGTCGAGGATTGCTGTTGTAATTGGGCAATTGGCTGTTGTAAGATGCTTGCCGCAAGCACCTGCTGTAGCCTGTAGGCCTGCACAGCTGGGTGTTCGAACCCCATAGGAGTAAGTGGTGGGAGGAACTATGGAATAATAGCATTAGGAGCAAGTGAGCACTGCGGAATAATGACCGCAGTTGTGGCGCTCACTGAAAGCGCAAGGAGGGCAAATATCTTGGTAACCATTGTTGCGAGGACGTTGCTAGCTTGTTTCACTTGGTATGTTTCCGATTGCTCTCAATGTTATGGGTGATGGATTAACTACTAATTTGGGGCCTATTTATACAAGCGGGAGCTCATGTATATCTGTTTAGATTTTGGCTTTTGCCAAACAACAGATAAGCTATAGATGACATGGCATCTAGTCAATTTTGACATTTAGTTGTCAATTTCATTGGATTATATGGTCTGTGTAGGAAAGACAATTTCCACTATGTACAAGGAAAAAGTGTCGTCTTATATTGGATTTTTTTGATACATGAGGAGTGACATGCATGATCACTTCACCTTTACACATGTTACAGCCTTAGCCACATCATAAATGTTCCACTTTATAAACATGACGAGTATGTAAAGTTATGACTTGCTCATGTGTATCAAAGCCTTTATCAATGGACTTTGTTGTAGTATTGTAGTCATGGTTAAAGCATGCACAGTAGTTTGGTGAGATGTTATTCAGCAATGAATGAATAAATGCCACAAGATCGAGACTAAATGAAATCCCAGTATGTACAGATGCAGATGCATGCACACACAAATGATTTTCAAAATTAGAATGCTTATAGCTAAACATGGCAATTGCCACACACTCCTTGTGTTCTTGATTACAGTTTACTTTAGTACAGTCTAAAACCAATCTTGTACAACTTTGACAAAGTTTCAAATAAACTTTGACAACAAAAAAGCACTACCAATACATATGTCATAAATAATTCAACGAAACAAACTTGATGTTCAAAATTTTGGATTGATTTTCTAGGAAGTATGTCAAAGTTAGGGAAAATTAACTTAGAGAAAAGCTAGAGCATGTAATAAACCATAGTGGAGGGAGTATATGTTGAACTCTAGCTCTTGATTCAAATAGATGTACATCTACCTTTTACAAACGTCAAAGTTAACTTGTTTCCATATAGAATGGAGAATGACAAATTTTATGCAACTTTTGTTGTGCTTCCACAAGCTACAATATGAGTCTACCCATCAATATACAGATGAAGAGGGCCATGGCCAACCTCCTGGCTGTCTGAAACATCAGTTAGGGCTCAAAGGCATAGATCGATTCAAGAAGAAAGACAACATGATCATTTATGTAAACCTTCTTAAGCAATGCTGGAAAAACTCAAGGAAAAAAGAGACTAAGATGGGGGGTCATCATTGATTTTTCTATCAAAACTACAAGATCCAAACTTGAAGTTCCACGACAACACACTCCTTCATATTCTTTTTTCCAACAACAATGTGCCATGGGTACACATATTTAATTCCTTTGAGTCTACTTGATGAGATTTTGGCTTTCCCTACACATGGATTGAATCTCGTAACAACGAAGATCGAGAACATTGGGCTGATAAGCTTAACGCTGGGACCGAGCACCTATTTTGGGCTAAGGAAATCCAATATGGCTAAAAATATTTAAAAAGAATAACTTCTCTGTTGACACATAATCAGAGTGAGGGAAAAACTCTTCATGGGTTCCTTTACTATTCCTTTTTATTTACGAAGGAATTAATTGCATGGGTCTATTTAATTTGTGTCATGGTGCTCATATAGATGTGATAAGATATTCTTTCTGTTTTTATATGATATGTGAGTACAGGCTAGGCTACGTTGGTTCTAGTGTTATGATCTATGCGTAGTAAACCATCATATTTGTAATAAACTTCTTACTTGTTTTAGATTGAACATTCCATAACATGCCCTTTGTCACATGCTAAATTCGTTCAATCATGCCAATTTCTAGCCTTCAACCAAATGGATGCAAAATTTTCTGGGCAGACTAAACTGTCTTGGCCACCGGCAGAAAACGACCAAACTGTCTTGGCCACCGGCAGAAAACCAAAAATAGCCTGCGCGTGAAAGGCACCGGATATGGCCACCACGACCGCAGTAATTCACACACCACTGGAAATTGCAGGTTGCAAAACCAGTCAACACGTCACGAACTGGCTGGGAAAAGAAGAAACTGAAGTCAAATTCGTAAAAAGAAATATACATTCTTTCTGGCAGTACAAAGTTCTCAATGCTACTTAAATCACTGAACTGGCCGGGCTGCCAATTAGTCTATCATGAACTGCCCTTGTGGAGTTGACAGAGCATGGTGACAAACATGGCAACACACACTAGCATGCTGATAGGCCCACATCAAAATGTCCATGCTTCATACAACGACCGTGATTGTTGACGGGAAATCAAGAACTCAGAAGTGTTTTACAGCCTCGCGATGACAGCTTCGACCTCGGCAGGGGTGTAGAGGTAGTACTTGGGGGCAACCTTGGCGATATCGACATTGTTTGGGGTCACCTGTTTAGAAGAAGACGATAAGTTCACATTTAGATGAATGGTTCAACAGAGCTGAGCGATGGAATATGGAATAGTTTGACATGTCATACCTTCTCTTCCATAACCTGCTTCAGGATAGAAAGGGTTATGGTCTCCGCCTCCTGGAGGGTCAGTTCCTGCAATATCAGCAAGGCATTACTCTCGATTTTCTTCCACATGAGTAATAGTCGACACTATTTTTTATGGATCTGTTCTATGACATTGCAGTATGCATGCACTTCTACATTTTTTTGACAGCCATAAAGGAGGACTATTATCCTCCCATTTTTACATCCTTGTGGAGCAAATTCTTGTGATGTCATTATGTGTGAGTAGCATATTCAAAGATTCTAAGCAGCATTGCAATTAATCTACTGCTCTAGGACATTTTTCCCTGTGTATTGAGTTTACAAGACAGTGTGCTTTGGTAGATAATTCCTTATAACTAGGGTTCACAGGCGGCACCTCTCTTTGGAACTGTACGATTTGTTGATAAGCTTAGCATTTATCATGAACCATACCTTGTTGTACTGCTCCTGCAAGGAGCTATCAGCTCCTTCAGAACCTGATCCAATTGCCTTTGCATTGCATTGCCAAAAGGTTCCAGATGGGTCCGTGTAGTATCTGAAGCACACATATGGTGAACCATGAGAAATTAAGTCCAGTGGCCTTGTGTAAATTGATTATGACAAGAAGATTTGCCTCACAACATAAAGAGATAAGGATGCCATGATTGCAAAATGAGCAACATATACAGAGGGGCCTGTTATAAGTGCCTGGTCTCCACTATATTCCACTAACTAAAATATATGCCTCAGCCAACATGTATACCGAATAAACTTATGTCTGGGAATTGGCTAAACTTCCAGTGGTAAATGAAGAAAATCCCCCCTAGACTTATTGAGAAGCAGGGAAAGAATGAGCACATAAAACCCCAACGAAAATTATTACTTAGGCTCAAAGTTGACCTTTTTATATATCACTTATGCTTGTTATAAGTAAAGACCTTTTCCACATATGTACAGAATGGAAAGGTAGCTCAACTATAAAAGCGAATAACTTAGTTCAATGCATGATGTAGATAACCATTCGAACAATCTTGGTCACAAGTTCCATGCCTTCCTGTTTTTCCTTATTTTACAGGAATTTTACTTTAATTTCTGTCAAGGACACATAATGACCCTAGAACAAAACCACCTAGTAGACAACCATAGTTCATGTGAGTCAAACAAATGGTAAGCCCGCACTCTGCAGCAAAGAGACATCCACTAAAAAAGCGTTTACCATGACGATCTAAAAAGAAGCAACAAAAAGCAAATGTGATGCATGATATGATGATAGTAAAATGATTTTACAGAAGAAAACAGAAGTAAAGCAACCAACATTACCATGACAGCCTAAAGTGTAAAAAAAAGGCAACAAAAAAGCAATTTCAATGAGTTATACCACAATGATTTAGCATAAGAAAAAGAAGTAAATCTCCCCAGTTTAAGAAAAACATGGATTCTGAAGACTGCAATTAAAGAAAATCCAGTTCAGTGAGCTAAATGGATCAGCACTTACAAGCTAGGTCCATTCTCATCATGTCCAGCGATTAGGAGGGAGACTCCAAATGGCCGTGACTGCACAAACAAATAAGTACATCAGAACGCCCACTACACGATACATGAAGTGATTACAACTTAGCACACCCCTCGACGAGCTATTGCGATGGAAATATAAAAGTAGATGTGTGTTGCAGGAAACTGTGGCTGTATAAATGCTGTGAAAACTGAAACTAGTAGTGGGTTGGCCCTATCAAAATGGTTGGCAAATGGGGAAAGTTTTCGGTTTGTAGAACCTTAACAAAAACAATTCATAGGTCCATCTTCACCATTAGGCCCTGATAAGATAATATTTACACATGAAAGAGACAATGCAGGCAAGATAGGTATATAACAAATCATTTCGTAAAAGGTCATTAGTGTCTGTTATCTCTTTTCATATTCATTATGGGAGTAATAGGGCTGACCAGTGATAAGAACACCTAAATGTTGTACTGGATTCAATTGCCTCCAGTCAGAACATTTGAAAATAAAGATATTGGTGTAAATCCATCTTATATTCTGAAGTTGAAGGAATGAAATGTAATCTGCAGATAATTAATCTTGCTTCTTGTGTTCTGGAGGTTATAGTAACATAAATGAGGCTAACCATTGACTCTTCATCACCTTCGCCAAAGCGCAGAGCCAGGTCACAGATAGCTTGTGTAGAAGATTCTACGGTCATTGGCTCCCCATATGAGAACCTATGATTCTGGTTGTTATAACAAGTCAGGTCAGATTTAACAGATAAAGCTCGCAAACATGTGAATAATATGTACATTACACTGGAATGTACCTGGGTCTCAACACGAGCGTGCTCAACTAATGTTCTAGCATCAGCAATAAGTCCACTCATGGCACAGCCTATGTGCTCATCAATTTCCATGATTTTCTCCACACTGCTAGGTTCCTATGACATAAAAGAGCAAAGGAACACTGAATTCATTAAGAATTTATAAACATGAAACAACCTATAACGTGAAAACCATTCCTGTTATCATAGTGCAAAATTGCATGAAGTTGAGCTCAAAACTCTAAGATTGAATCATCTGGAGGTTAAAATGTTACAACAAAATGCAGTAGAATGAGGTGCTGCACAACTTTGTGAAAGAGAAGCTACCTAAAGATAGTAAACCATGTATAAGAAGTCATGAGAATTCAATCATAGACCAACAACAACAACAAAGCCTTTTAGTCCCAAGCAAGTTGGGGTAGGCTAGAGTTGAAACCCAACATGAGCCCCTAGTCACGATTCAGACCAATAAGAGGATATATATTCATATAAAAGTAAGTTCGGTGAGCAAGCAATGTTCCCAATTTAACATCCCAATGTTTGCCACCATAAAATCAAGCACTAGTACTGGCTAAGAAGAAGGAAAAGTTAACTCAGTAAGTACCAGCAGTGGCGAGGTCACACGTTTCTCGACGGCGAGAACAACGCCATCCTTTGTCTTCAACCCGATTGCAGTGGATCCCAACTGCAAGAGCAAAGGAAACAGCAACATAAGCATCACTTTGTCACACACAGTGACAAAACCCACATAAACCTCGCAAGTAAAGGCCTCGCAAACTGCACAAAATTCAGTATGGGTATGTGCAAGTGCTAGTCCTTGACCTACTTTCCCCTTAATAATGCAATGTCAATCTGGTGCTATTGAGGAAAAAAGAGTATGCCATCACATGCCAAGCCAAAATTGACACAGTAATAAACTGACTAGACACACAGAACCACAAACCTTCCACAATCCCAAACCTCAACTAGTAAAATCGAGTGAACCATACTCCTGAGATCATTTATAACACCCTCAACTCACAAATCCCAGCAATTCTGTTAATAAAATCCTAAAAAACCCCAACTGCCCCCCTTTCAGATTTGAGCTCACGCAACAACAGCCAACCCCACAAATCTAGCTTCGTCCTCACAAAAGTCCCCACCATCCCGCACAGGCACTCCACATCTCGGCGTTCCCACAGTTCAGATTCGATTGGATACAGCACGTCGCCCTCCCGCTACGAAGGGAGGCAGCAAAGAGAGAGAGGGGATCTCACCTTGATGGCCTCGATGGCGTACTCGACCTGGAACAGCCGCCCCTCCGGCGAGAAGGTGTTCACCCCGCGGTCGTACTCCGTCCTGCAAAGCAAAGACCCCAAACCGAAAATGCACCCCGCGTCAGCACACGACGCGCCGCCGCCGCCGGCGGATTTAATCCAGAGGGTTTAAAGGACAGACTACAGGGGGATCTGAAACCGGCCAGTCACCTCGTGAGAAACATCCTGTTGGCGACTCCGGTGACGGCGGACGCTGGACTCTGGTGACCTCGGCGCCTCTCTCTCTCTCTCTCTCTTTCTCTCCTCTTCTGCTTGACGAGAAAGTTGAAGCGAAGAACACAGGCGACGGCGGTGCAGGCAGGGCGCGGTCCGCCACGTATATGGGCCGCCCGCGCAGGACCGGACGCCTCCCAGCCTCTGGGCTGGGCTTCGTTTCTTGCTCGGAAAGAACTGAAACAGAGATTGGATCGCGGTCCAGCGACCCAGGGTCATCTTACTGTGATCAATCAAACGCGGGCCGACGGCCACTGGTTGGCCCATTGGACTGCGGCCCATGTGGGGTCCAATAAACCCTCCCAGCCTGCGCATTGCCGCTCTCCAAATTCTCCTCAGAGCAAACGGACAGAGCAGAAGAGGTGAGAGCGTCTGGAGCAGTTCCCAATACCTCTCCCTATTCTCGTAAAACGGAACCAACTCCTCTAACTCAGGAAGGACTACGTCCTGGAACATACTTGTGCCTAATGCCCTTCGTTTCTGATCGAGCGGCAGGAAGCAAACAGCCAATCCAGCGGTAGGAAACAAGCAGGAAGGCACAGATGCATCGGCCCATGTAAACGATGTGGCTCAAGTAGCATTGAGAAGCACTCCTATTTGATAAAAAAAATAAAACGGAGGCACTCCAGATCTCGCCGGCTCGCCACCCACGCGCTCAGAAAAGATCGCCGCCGGCCGATTGTTTCCGCTCGCCACCTCCTTTGGCTTGGTGAGCAGGCCCCTGAGACAGCGACGTCTACTAACGTCGCTGGCTCCCTCCTCATCATTCCTATTCCTCGGCCCCGCAAAAGAGACGTGCTTCAAGATGGCCGTCGGCCGATTGCTGCTGGTCGCCGTCTCCCTCGGCGTAGCTGTGCTGGCGCAGGTGCAAGCTGCTAGATAGGCATTATTTTCATATATACAATGTCCTACTAGATAGGCATTATTTTCATCCAATGCCTTGTGCAAGCTGCCAAGGATCTTTAATATTTACCTTGAAAAGCTTCAAATATAATAGGTGTATACAACTTGCTAGCTTGCAACAATATAGACGGTGGTCTCCTCAAACCTAGTTTAGGTAACTTTTTCGTGGAATCAAATTCTGAATTTAGTTCATTGTTCCTTTTCCCTTGCACCACCCTTTCAAATTGCTTAAAGAACCGGATGATATCAAAATCAGATTTGAAATGGATTTTCAAGTCATTGTTCAAACTCTCACTCAATTGTGTACTTCTCATTCCTAATGTGAAGACATCCTTCATGTAACATTCAGCCAATTTTTCTTTCAACTTGTATATACTGTCCAACCAAGTTTGCTTGCTCACCTTTTGCCTCATGAGGTCAAATTTTTGTTCGAATTCTGTCATGTCTTCGTACTCAAACATGCAGGCACTAAAATCTGATAGAATACTTAAGCTTTCATTTTTCTCCATTTCCTTCTCTGTTTTCTTCTTTTGTTTTTTCTTCCCCTTTTCCTTCTCTTCATCCTTATCTTCGTGTAGATGTTTGATAGCATTTTGCATGATGTGGAAGGTGCATAATCCATGCCATGCTTCCGTGAACACTTCTACAACTGCCTTTCCCATTGCTGCATCCTGATCTGTGTAAAAAGTTTTAGGCTGTTGTCCATTATGAGCTTTTAGAAAGGTCTCAAAAAGCCACCTGAAGGATTCAAATGTCTCATCATACATGAGAGCAGCACCAAAAACTACAGTTTCTCTAAAGTGATTGAATCCAACAAATACACCAAAAGGTCTACTCTCCTTGTTTGTTCTCAAAGTAGTGTCAAAACTAACAACATCACCAAAATGTGCATAATCCATTATCATTTTAGCATCAGCGCAAAATATATTGGCTATTTGTTCTTCACAGTCCATTTGCAATGCATACTGGAACGATGGATTCTCGGCAATTTTGTCTCGAAAATACTTCAGCATACTACCTACTTGTTCGTATGCCATCTCTCTTTGGCGCTTGGTCCGCAAATAATTCTTCTGGTCACGAAGGGTGAAGCTAAGATTAAGTGGACCACCAACTTGGCGAGTAGCTAACTCATGAGCAGCTTTTGGCCCAATTCCTGCATTATCTGCTGTTTCAATTTCAAAAGCTTGTAAATCTGAAATTTTTCTCTGTGACACCATTAAGTGTCAGGTTTCTGGCAGGTGTAGTGCATGATTATGCCCCAAAACAAGCTCAGACACTTTCAGATTTCTATTCTTTCGATCCATTTTCAGATTCACGTGGACTTGGCAATCGGTCCTAGTTTGGGCTCAAGGGCATTTTGTTAGATGATCTCTTTTGTCCGGCAATCGATGACCCTCATTTACACAAACAAATTTGCATGATGTAACCTTGCCATCGGATGGTCTTTTGTTTGTATACCTTTTCCTGACATCAAAGCCTTGCTGTCCACTATAGCTAAGTCAAAATGCCCATGCTTCGTTCGAACTTCCAAATTCCATGCCAACGCCAGGTGGCATGTCTCTAACACAAAAAACCATAACATGAGTAGGGGAGTTGTGCAATTGCAGAGAAAAATCTTTTACTAATTTCAGATATCATGCCAAACAGAGTAAGCAAAGAGTAGCTATACATGGGATTGAAATAACAAAATCCATTCATGTCAAATAACAAGTAATATAGAATATAGAGAGGTGTGTTACTCACTTGTTTGGATCACGATTCACTTTGTTAGCTTCTTTTCTGGTGGCCTCTTCCTCCATCTCCGTGGAACAGAATACAAGAGCAGAGCAACTCGTCCCTCCAGCGTTTGAGAATCGGCCTCTCTGTCGATGCAATAATCTGGCGATCACTCCGGCACCTCCATCTGTGCGGTCCTCTCGCAGATCGCGCTCCTTTTTTTCTCGGCCGTGCGGCCGTCTGCGCAGTCCGCCCGCGCTTTTTTTCTCGGCTCGCGCCCTTTTCCTCATCGCTCTGCTCGGCTCGCGCCCTTTTCCTCGTCGCTTGTGCTGCTAGACTGGGCCGCAGCAGGCTTATGGGCCAACGTCTGTGCTTGTAGAATAGTTTGCGTCCTACCGCTCAATGAGAAACGAAAGGCATCGCTGCAAGTACGTCCCAGATCTTTGTAAGTTAGACGAGCCTGTCATATTGGGAACATATATGTTTTTTTCTTGCTCCAGAGTTTCCCAATATCTCTCTTTTGTTTTATGGCTACCAATATTTCCCTTATCTCCCTTTAAAGAAGGAGGAGATACAACTCCCCCAATACTATAACACTACCAGAAACCGGCACTTTGCCGAGTGCCGGAGGCTTTGCCGAGTGTATTTTATCGGGCACTCGGCAAAGCCGGTCTTTGCCGAGTGCCAAATAAAATACACTCGGCAAAAAAAACACTCGACAAAATGCGTCTTTGCCGAGTGTCTTTTTTCTGACACTCGGCAAAGATGTATTTTGCCGAGTGCTATTTTTCGGCACACGGCAAAATGCATCTTTGTCGAGTGCCTGGCACTCGGCAAAGATGTATTTTGCCGAGTGCTATTTTTTGGCATACGGTAAAATGCGTCTTTGCCGAGTGCCTTTTTTCTCGGCAAAGATGTATTTTGCCGAGTGCCTTTGTTTTGGCACTCAGCAAAGAGGCATTTTGCGTGTGCATTTTTTTTGCACTCGGTAAATCAGTTTTTCAAAGCAATTTTTGAGGCCCTAAATGAATTCAAATGAAAAACTTTTCAACTACAAAGTTGTATAACTTCTCAAGATCTATAAAGTTTGTTTTGGTTATTTCTTCATTTGACAAAGCAACAATAACGTTGTTCATAAAATCTACATCTCTCATATTAGTTTCATGAAAGTAGAAGAGAGATGTATAAGATTTGTGAACAATGTTACTACCACCATGTCGGATGAACAAATGACCAAAATAAACTTTGTAGATCTTGAGAAGTTATGCAATTTTGTAGTTGGCAACATTTTGATTTGAAATCATCTTGTCATGCAAAAACGACGTTTGAATTTGAAAATTTTAAAATTTGAATTTTTCAAAAGACCTTGGATGGAAAAACTTCCTAAATGAAAAATGTAGATCTCCAAAAGTTATGAAACTATGTAGTTGACAATTTTTTGATTTGAAATCATCTTATCATGCAAAACTACATTTGAATCTCTTAAATTTGAAATTCGAATTTTTCAAACAACCTCGGATGGAAAAACTTTCTAAATAAAAATTGTAGATCTCGAAAAGTTATGAAACTTTGTAGTTGACCACTTTTTGATTTGAATTCGTTTAAGGCCTCAAACAAGCAATTTACTCTTAGTTTAGTATAATATATGAGGATAGATAACGGAATCTAGACACAAGTGACAGTATAGTGCAGTGGTAGAGCAGTAGACACGCGAGGGAGAGGTTATGAGTTCGAATCCTGCCGGCCATGTTAGCCGCGAATTTAGCGTAAAAAATGCACCGACTTCGTTGAAGGACGGGCGGGCACTGGCTGGTGGCGGCCTCCCCCGAAAAAAAAATTTGAAACATTTTGCTATTATTTTTGGGTTTTTTTCGCATTTTCATTTTCCGAGTGTAAATCTTTGTCGAGTGCTTTTCCGGCACTCGGCAAAGCCGCCGACAGCTCCTTGCCGAGTGCAGCACTCGACAAAGGCTTCTTTGCCGAGTGCAATTGCATTTGGTAAAGCACGTGCCTGCTGTAGTATAAGGACCATCCCAAATACTAATTTTTAGTTATATTTTCTCTTACACTCACATGAGATCTATTTTTTATATAGATATTAGGGAAGATATATTAGAGTACTGCTGTAAATATAGAAAGTGATATTAGGCTATCCAGTACCCAATCGGGGGAGCTGTATCGGCGCTTGAGATGCTCTCAGAGAAAAAGGAGAAGGCCATGTCGGCGGCGCAGCAGAAGGCGGCGGGAGCGGAGCAGGAGTAGGAGGTGGAGCACGGGCCATTCCCCATCGAGCAGCTCCAGGTACGGACCCGGCTCCCTCGCCCCAGCCCAAACCCTACACGGCTTCTTGTTCCCCTCGCCCCGGAGTGGGCGGCGTTTCCGAGGTCAAGGCGGCTTTCCTGAGGCTCCGGCTCCGCGTTCCGCGCGAGTAGGGAGTGGAGGTGGGCCTCGTCGCGGGTTTGGGTTTGGGTGTGGGGCTGGGTTCTTTGCCGAAGAAATGGGTGGAGCCATTTTTGTTTTGTTGGTGTAAAATATGTAAACAATTTACATTGCAGCTTCCATTGGACCAAGGTGGTGGTGAAGGAAAGACTCTGTACATTGATGCAGAGGGTACGTTCAGACCACAAAGGCTCCTGCAGATAGCTGACAGGTGATACCTTAGCTGCAATTTTTTAATTATTATAACATAAATTTGATCGCTAAACATGCTCATACTGGAATCTAGGTTTGGGCTTAACGGTGCCGATGTGCTAGAGAATGTGGCTTATGCCAGAGCTTATAATACAGATCATCAATCCAGACTTCTGCTGGAGGCAGCTTCCATGATGATAGAAACAAGGCAAGTCCAACTTATTGTTTTGAGTCCACATGTGAATTATATGTTACTTTGAGCACATAAGCATGCTTTACTTTCTATCAGTTGTGCACTAGGTAAATAAATTTAAATTAATTTGGTTATTTTTGGCTTATGAATCAAAGGGGTCATGCCTTAGCTATAGTACTGATCCTTTGGGCCCACATAGGTTCCATGTAACATTAAAATACAAATGCAGCTCTCGTATTGAACTGGACTTCGCTACTATTTACAACATTAGTGTTGTCCGTTTTCACTCTATGTGCATTGTACAAGAATATCCCAAATTTATTCATGACATGTTGCGATTCATATGAGCTAACTAGCTAAAACATAAAATGGTTAATCAGCTGTGGTATGTTTATCATATCAAACCTTTCATTACATACAGCTTATTAATTGTATGCTATGGTTTGTCTGTAGGGATATACCAATGCAGTGTTTGCTACTTAGTCTAACATGAATACATGATGTGCTGCTTCACGATCACGTTACACTAGGAAATGAAAAAACCAGCTAAATTTGACACTGCAACTGCTACTGTCAATCAAAGTGCATTTTGTCAATTCTGCTTACTCTGCCACTGTCTGTGTTCGTTGATTCTCAGTGTATATTTGTTGTGAAGACTAGTGATTATGGGGGGTGGCTTGGTAAGAATTTCTAATCTGAATATCTACATTTGCAGGTTTGCTCTCATGGTTGTTGACAGCGCCACAGCCCTGTACAGAACTGATTTCTCAGGAAGAGGGGAGCTATCGGCTAGGCAAATGCATATGGCTAAGTTCCTGAGGAGCCTTCAGAAGTTAGCAGATGAGGTTGGTATAAGTTGTTATTATTTTTTTATCTTAAAGAGCACCAAGTCTTTTCTCTTTATGGTTTTTGTTTTAGCTTTCAGTCAAATGAAAATGCCGATTGTTTGCTTTTCTTAATTTGATTTGATTGATCATGGCAGTTTGGCGTTGCTGTGGTTATCACCAATCAAGTAGTAGCACAAGTGGATGGCTCTGCTATGTTTGCCGGACCGCAGATCAAGCCAATTGGTGGTAACATCATGGCTCATGCTTCCACAACAAGGTACATTATGCCAGTTATCACAAGCTAACTGGTTTTCTCCAAGACCCAGGTTGTGTTCTGTTCCTATCCATATTGTTTCTTAAAACTGTCGATGCTGTCTCCAACTCTCCATCAGGCTTGCTCTTCGCAAGGGAAGAGGGGAGGAGCGGATTTGTAAAGTAATAAGCTCTCCCTGCCTGGCTGAAGCTGAAGCGAGGTTTCAGATAGCTTCTGAAGGTGTCGCAGATGTCAAGGATTGAGGCCGTCATATCTCTGCTTGCAGTGCACAGTGGCTTCGTCTCCAATGGTTGTCTGCTGTCTGCTTTGTCATTCCTTGGGTCAACTGCTGAGTTGCCCTACCTTGATTTACAGAACACTAGCCTTCACAGATGCGATTGCACATGTGACTGATCCGAGCATCCTGTTGTAAAAAGAAGCGATGCCTGTTGTCCTGTTGTGTGTTGCATGAGACCTGATAACTGAAACAAATATTGATATACAATTATAGTTATGATGTATCAAATGTCAGTTCAGTTCCCATTTTTGTGTTCTATTGTTCAATTATCACAGCAATTGCCGGATGTGCACTGTGTAGATAATAACTCACAGAACAATGACCGATCCTGATAAAGTAGTAGTGAATATGACAATATGTGACTCTAGTTGACACGACCTTGAGTTCTTGACTGTTGGTGAAGGTTGCATTGTGGTGACCTTTGAGTAGTCTTGCCCTTTGTATGTATATTGGCTGTTGTCTCATTATTTCTTCAGTTAATAAAATGTTACCGTTACGTTGGACATTATGGGCTTGTTTGGATCACGCCATGGCAGGCAGCTGATCCTAGCCCCGGGCGTCCAAAAACGGACGACTGGGAGCCTTGCCTGGGACAGGCAACATCGGTGGGGAGCCATCCAAACACGCCCTACATCCTTTTTTTTTTGGTGTGTGTGTGTGTGGGGGGGGGGGGGGGGGGGGGGGGATTCAATTCGCTAACCTTGCATGGCAAAGGAGCTGATTTTAAAATTGACTCTTGTGGCAACCGGAAATGAGCTCGTGGTTCATTTTCGAGTTGTATACTGGTATTACTGGTTGCAGTAGACGGCTGGAACCTCTGTGTTTCCGTGGATTATGTGCAGCAGAGTCGCCATCACAGCTACACGCTACGATGGCGTTGACAACATCTTGATGCAATGCCATGGGCCCCCACTGGCCATCACTGTTACGTCCAGTTTAATGCTGCCTCACAATCTTATCACATCAGCCGATACAGAAACCAGCTATTTGTTGAAGTGTTTTTCATTAACTCTGCCTGCCAATGCTTTTTTGATGTATTCTTGGACATTTCCATATAGCTGTTGCCTGTTTTCAGTATATGTTTATTATGAAGACTAATAATAGCAGACCTAGCTGTTGTTCCGAATCTCTACATTTGCAGGTTTGCTCTCATCTTAGACAGTGCCAGTGTGCCACCTCAGGATGAGGGGAGCTATCAGTGAGGCAAATGCACATGACTAAGTTCCTGAGGAGCTTTCAGAAGTTTGCTGATGAAGTCAGTTGTAAGTTAGCATTCTTTTTTTTTTCATTGAGAAAATTGTAGCCTTTACCTTTATAGATATGTCTTAGCTTTCGTTCAAAAGAAAATTCTGTTTACACTTTGTTCGATTTGCTTAATTTGATTTTATTAGTCACAGCAGTTTGGAGTAGCTGTGGTTATCACCAATCAAGTAGTAGCACAGGTGGATGGATCTGCTATATTTACCGGACCGCAGTGCAAGCCCATTGCTGGTGTTTCGTTCAAGCATTTTATTTTCGCTGTCGTAGCTCCCTTTCCTTTTCTCTGTTCTCTTTGGGCTCAGTTTTTTTCGTCCCTAGATCATTTTTGAGGAGATTTGTTGCTAGATCCCTTTTGGGCCTTGGGATTAACCTGTATTGTGTCACCATGACCCTAGGATAATCCTTGCCTATTTATATGTGGTTGTATCCCTGTCTGATAATTAATCTACACCTTCGTGCAATTATCTTGCTCTCGGTACTGGTACCAGTGCCACCACCCATCACCACCAACTCTCCAATGCTTAAAGGATGAATTACAGAAATTCTGTTTAAAAGCAAAAAGTGCACTTTATAAATTATCTCGAGGAGCCATTTTGGTGATGAACAGTCCTTAGTTTCTCATCACTGTTATGACATGTAAAATCAACCAAGTATCGCAGCCGTAGAACCACGAGTTGCTGCACAATTACATACCCAAAACTAAAAGTACCTAACACTTAACAATTATGTGCAATATGCATGGTGTAGAGCGACGATAGGATATACAGTACCAAATTTGCATATGGCCCACATTCCATCTCCTACAGATTCAGGAACAACTATGCACCTTCAAGTTCACTGAATCCATAAAATACGAAAACACCTCCTGATCCATACCTGTTTGGCCTGCCTGAAGCCTGCTCGCCTACTGCAGTGTTGCACAGGAAGTTCACTGCCCTGCCTTGTCACTTGCACGCAGATTCTTAAGCACACCAAAGGGTTCCACGTTCTGTTTTTATGGCTCAAAGAAACTGCAAGCTGATAAATTGGAATGTAAGGGGACTTAATGACAATGCAAGGCGCGACGCCGTCAGTGAGCTAGTTAGAGATACCGGCGCTACCATAGTATGCCTGCAAGAGACCAAACTGCAGCAGCTTGATGCACACATAGTAACCCGGACGGTTGGACAATGCTTCGCGAATTCTTTCGCTGTACTACCAGCTGTTCAGACGATAGGGGGCATCCTGCTGGCAGTCAATGAAAACTACTTCGAACTATCCAACGTCCTTCTGACCACGCATGCAATCACAGCAACTATAACCATGAGGGCCACGAACACTCAATGGCAGATCACGGTTGTTTATGGGCCTCAAAGGGATGATGATAAGATCCTTTTCCTGCAGGAGCTCAAAAACATCCCCGCGCCCAGTCATCAGCAGTGGCTTATCCTTGGAGATTTTAATTTGATCTACCAGGCGAAAGATAAGAATAACACAAATCTCAACCGCCGCCTCATGGGCTCCTTCAAGGCGACAATTGATGATTTGGGGCTTAAAGAGATTAAGCTAAACGGCCGCCGTTTCACCTGGACCAATGTGCAAACCAACCCCACAATGACTAGGATTGATGACTTCTTTGCACTCCAGTTGGGAGCTGCTCTTCCCATCGTGCTTTCTCCACTCCCTCCCATCTCTCATGTCGGACCACACACCACTTGCTACTCCACGGCGCACTTGATCATTTCAACAACAATTTCTTCCGGTTCGAAAATTTCTGACCAAGATGGAAGGCTTCCACGAAGTGGTGCAAAAGCTGAATGGGGAAACCACTCAACACCATGCTACCCATCAAGCGTTTACACATCAAAATGGCTAGACTTGCAAAGGGCACGAAGAAATGGCGGAAAGAGAAAATAGGAAACACAAGACTCCAGCTAGCCATCACCAAAGAGGTCCTCCTTCAGCTAGAAATGGCACAAGAACTCAGGCCACTCTCGAGATCAAGAGAACGAACTTAGGAACGCTTAAAAGCCCGCAACACCGGCCGCTTTGGCTGTAATTGAGAAGTCACGGATGAGGCAGAGGTCCAAGCTTACCTATATCCGCATGAGTGGTGACGCCAACACAAAACTTTTTCACATGAAAGCCAATGCACGTCGGAGAAAAAATTACATTCACTTTGTCTACAAAAGAGGGTGGGTTAGTCTTCTCCCGGATGAAAAAGAAAAAGTGGCGGGGATTATTTCAATGAGCACTTGGGCACCTCTCACAGAAGGACCTTGTCCTTAAATTGGCAAAGCGCCAGGCTATACTCTAAGAAACCTACAGCAGCTGGAGCTACCATTCACTCGGACGGAAGTCCGGCGTCATCGTCCTTGAGATGCCATCCGAGAAAGCCCCGGGGCCCGATGGCTTCACGGGGCCTTCTTCAAGGCATCTTTGGAGATAATCAAAGACGACTTATTGGCTGCGATCAACAATATCTTCCAATTGCATTCCCAAGGCTTTGAGTTAATGAATTCGGCAAACATCGTCTTGCTTCCAAAAAACCACAGACGCCTTGAGAATCACGGACTACGTGCCAATTAGCCTCATGCATAGCTTTGCAAATTTTTTGCAAAACTCACGCCAATGACTCGCCCCCACCTCAACTCCTTAGTCTCCAACCGCCAAAGTGCGTTCATCAAGAAAAGAAGTATTCATGACAACTTCCTATATGTACAGGTCAATGGTGAGAAAAATGCACAAGGAAAAGATGCCCACACTTTTCATGAAGCTCGATATCCACAAGGCTTTCGACACGGTGAACTGGAGCTACCCTCTTTGGAGGTCCTCACGCGCTCTTGGTTTCGCCCACGATGGTGTGAATGGGTATCCATCCTTTTCCGCACAGCCCACGTCGAGGTCTTTGCTCAACGGCTGCTAGGACCGAGCTTCCACCACGCCAGAAGGTTCGCCAAAGCGACCCTTTATCGCCAATGCTTTTCATCCTCGCCATGGATCCACTCCAACAGATTCTTGAATTCGCTTCTCGGATGGGCGCCCTCTCCCGGTCCCCTCATCCACGGCCGATGGAGAACCTCCCTATCTGCAGATGACGCGGCTATTTTTATAAACCCTCGAAAGGAAGACATAGATGCGATCAAGGTGATTCTCCGTGCCTTTGGGAATATATCGGCCTCCACATAAATTTGGAAAAGAGCTCCGTTCACCCGATTAGATGCGACGAGATAGATCTAGACCATGTTCTAACCTCCTTTGCAGGGATCAGGGTCTCTTTCCCTTGCCGTTACCTTGGCCTGCAGCTCCACACGTGTTCGTTACGGAAGGTACACGTCCAAATAGCTCATCGAGCGGATCGCCAAAGATTGCTCGGATGGAAAGGAAAATGGTGAACAGAGCCGGTCCTCGCCCTGGTTTCATCCGTTCTCTCAAAGAATGCCAACTTATCATCTAATGGTATTCCCATTGGCGGCTTGGGCTCGAAAAAGCATCGACAAAATTAGAAGGTCCTTTCTCCGGAAAGGAGAGGAAAACGCCAATGGGGGCACCGCCTTGTTAATTGGCCGACAAGAATTAGGCCAAAGGACCTCGGAGGGCTTGGAATACCGACCTTAACAAGTTCAAAGAGGGCCTTGCGCTTAAGATGGCTGTGGCGAGATTGGGTGGACACTTCTAAACATTGGGCTGGAATGGAACTTCCCCGCAACGATCTAGATCGGGCAC